GAGGCTGTTGACAAAGGACTTGTTGGAGGATATTTCATCATTTGTACTAACTGATGATTTCTTTGTACTTGATGACTGCTTGGTTTCGAATTCTAAATACATTACGTTTAGAAGCACTCATTTGGTTCTACCTACCTTAAATTGCACTATTTTGGAAATTCTTAGCTAACGCAATAATTCGAATACTTCTAATTATCATAGATCTCTTTCGGACAATTTCATCACCCATAACCTTCGACAGAATCTTATTCTCTCTCCCAGGTCAATCTTTTGAGGTCTGCTCTGACATCGCGAAAATCAGCTCTGAGAAAGCTTTAGGATTGATCACGGAAAGTATGTTACGGAGAGAATGGATAGTAGGATGACTCTGTTGCTATGATCCAATTAGTTTAGTACTAGTAAGTCAGTGAATTTTATTACATAACTGGCGAAGATACAATCCCAATACATGTCCATCATGTCCTCATGGATTACATTAAGTAACATCTAATAATCTGAATTATCCTACCAAGTCTCTAATGTACAAAACCACTTTAAAACCGTAGCCTAATTAGAAGTGATTTTGAATGTTTAAATCACGAATCAATAGCATCTGAGAAAATTTTAATTTTTTAGGGCTCTTCATACCTCTTGAAGAAATGTACTGGTAAGAGCAGCTATGGCTATGGGTGATGTATAAAATACACTACAAGACAAAAGATATGGATTCCACCCACGCCGAAAAACAAAACATCCTGAGGCCTTATTATGGAAGATGAAATTTCTAGATCTCCGACAGATCTAAATATATAGAGCATGACCCTATCATCAACAATTTCAGATCTGTCATCATAAAACAGCTGGAGGTTGTTGTAGACATGTTCCCTATCACTAATATCACTAGTAGTTTCACGGGAGGCCGTCATACTTTGGTCTCTTCCGTTTGTAAGGTGTGATCTGTCATCGAAATCATCAATCATACGATGAAACGCTTAATACCATATATACTCCTCTTGACCTAGATTATTCACCAATCACAATTTTATTTTTATCATAAAACAATTTTCGATTTGTTGACTCATTTTTCCAATTCTCTAGTTACTGTTCGGTATGTTGTTCATGTCTCTATTTCCCTTGTTCAGTAGAATGTTTATTTTGTACACTGTAGTTTAGAAACAGTTAAGGTTTATCATGTCAAGTAGTTCACTTGTTGTGACTTTGACTAAGCTAAGACTCTGTGTTTGACAGTCAGGGGAATAGTTTGGAATTGTATCTGTAGGTAATTACTTCCCACACCGTTGTCTTTTACTAGATAATTGATGTATTGGAATCAGGAAACCATATTTCACCCAAAATCACAATAGCTAAGTTGTTATTAGAACAAGAAGGCCATTTATTCTCACTGACGACCCGAGCTCAGCAAACTAAAATATTTTTATAACACAACCACCTTATGCCTCTACACAACACGAAGAGCGCTTTACCATTGTCGATTGTCAAATGTTAACTGTAGTGTCTATGTCATACACTGAAAACTAACACTTTAAAGGGCCAAGATTTATATTCGCTGTCTTTAGTTGATCCCCACTACCAAAAATAACTTTCGCAACACATAAGATGCATTACTCCTGCTGGATAGCACTGAAGTAGCATACAATGAAACAATCTAGAATGAGAACCAATCAGACGAGCCATTCATTTTTAAAAATCAGGTAAGATTATAAACATTGTAGTTGGCAACAAACTTGATGAAAATAATGTATGTTCTGATATCAGATTTATGTTAAGAAGACTGACAAGTAAAATAGAAGAACAAATAAGTCCTCGATAACTATGTTAACCATCGTCATATAGACTTTTTAACTCGATAGCAGGTCAATAGCATTAGAAAAGCTGAATTTATTTTTCACAAAACTAGTTTAAACGTTTCTAAATTAACAACCTTGTGAACTGATGTGACTTTGCGCGTTTTCAAATATTGCACTAGGTAGCGTTGGCTTATTTTTCGTATTGATAAGCAATTGTGTCAATTGTTGTTATAATCTTAAATGCCTATGTTTAACTGCGAAACTCTGGCTCATGAGTGATAAGTAGTTTAATGATGTTGGAACCATTAAAATAAACGGGAAAAGTGGTCATAATCAGGTGTTTATACGTTAGTTACTTTTAATTGATGATTTTGAACTGTATTCAACCTTCACATTGTTTAATTCAAAGCCAATGGTAAAATATATTATTTCCATGTTTTTGTGTATGTATGGATATTTCCATTGTTGATTACTTGATTTTGCTGCCATGACACCAATCATAGTACTATTTTTTTCAAAGTACAGAGTAATGGTAAAAACAAAAAATAATTTAAAAAACGGCTGTAACAACAGTCGAGATTCTTCACCAAGTCCTTACCTATATTAAAATTAACTGACTAGTTAGCTATATTATAAAATAAAAGCTGCGTCATTAACATTCAAGCCTTAAGTTATTCAAATAGAAGATAGCCAGTTTGGTTGCATATCTTTTCTAAGGCATGATGAAAAAGTTATTAAGTTTCTAATAGACTCTCCTAGCAGTTTAGAGATTTAATCTAAAAATCTACACCAGTCTAACGAGTACCGTACCCACTAGTCTCAATCAGGATATGAGTTTGCGTCACTATCCAAAAATTTCTTATCACTACTCCCAAAATCTCTATGACCTTATAGCAAATAAGCTTTTAACAGCAACTTAACACTTGTCTTTGCACGCTTAATATCTGGTTTCGAATATTTAATAACCATTTCAGTCCGCGATCAGATTGATGGTGGGTTCGTAGACCTGCGTTAATGTTTTCAGTACATAATTGCATAAAGACTTAGATTTTTCTGCCAGGTATTCACTGAAGAACGTAATGCCAATTACTTCGCTTTAGTGTTCCAGACGTTGATTAATGGTTGATAAGTACGGTTCCCCACCCTGAGTTCCTACGATCACGCTTTTTAAGCTTGTCAAGATGGTTTCAGATATGATTGATCCTAAAGGCAGAAAAAAATTGAGACACGTTAGCACTCAGTTCATTTAAGGTGCAAAACAACAACTTAAAATCACTTTACTTCGTGAAGAAAGGTGAAGAAATAGGGTTAGGTAGTTTAATTGCCCTTTCATCAAAGAAATTAAAGTGTCTAAATCTTGCTAGGATGAAATCTCTTAGTATTTTTTCCTTTATTTAACTGGCCTTTGGGTTATTCATTTTACTAATTGTTGACTAAAAGATAACTGTGGGGTTGATTATATGACAATGGAGATTTTACGTTCACGAACTATAGTCTAAACCTAATGTGTCGACCGATATGTATTGATATATCAGTCTTTTAGGCTACTGTCAAGCCTTATAGCGTATAAACCACGCCACATATTTAAACGAGGAAAATATTTCGATTTCGATGCTCTTCAAACCTTAAACGTAACACAATTTAACCACTGTTGATAAATTGAAGCGGGACTTGAGGTATAAAACATCACCGAACCGAGAGGAAAACAGTGTAACGATGGAAATCTTCATTGTATGCAAACAGTCGTCACTTTTCAACGGAGGAACAGTGATTCGTTTAATAACAGCTAAGGGTTTTTACTAAACTCTTACTTTGATTTATAGCTTCTTCTTAGCTTTCTTGCGCTATCTTTACTTTAAAATGATGAGTTGAAATTCATCATCAACATGTATGTATTATATGATATTCTCCCAGTTACTACTTCTTCTTGCTCAATATTCACTTCAAAAAAATCTGTTCTATACAGTTTGTCTTATTTTATGCTACTATTTAGAAAATACCGTCCTGTAAATCATACTTCATCTAACTTTCTGAAAATTGATCCTCTTATATATATTCACTTATCAGCTTAGGACAAGTAAACGATATTTTCTTATTTAAAGGCGCTGACAAATCCCATCTTATAATCTCTTAGAGTAGTAATTCAACCATGTTTGAGACGAGTTTTCATCCCTCTCAATGCATATTTTTGCACGAGAAACGGCCTTCACCATTTCTTAGTTTGATCGTAGGGTGTACAGTAGTTAAGTGCGTCAACCATATTTGGTGTGCAGTAGTCCGCTATGTATTACTTAACGGCTACGAAATACGGTTTACGGAACCTAAAGACCTGTTGGCTTCTGTTTCATAACATTGGATTCTCTGTAGTATTGTTTGAATATCATGAAACGACTGGATGGTTAGGCATAAGATACTAGGGGAAGATGTAAAATCGGTCGATGAAGTAGTGAATCTTCATTAACAGAGGTGGACGGGACGCGTACATTTTATGACTAACTGCCAACTTCAGCAGTTAATGCTCACTGGAGTGGGAGAAGGTTGAAGGAAAGCTAAAGGTGTTGCGAAACCAAGACATTGAGTCGTTCCATGTGAAGTTCTAAGATGTGTAATTTACAAAACCATTCTTACTCATCGATTAACATGTTTAAACAGTATTTGAGATGTTGTCCTTATCCATTAGAATAACAAAGATCATTCTGATTCAGTTAGATGAAAAACTCCAGAAACACAAAATTAGGTAGTTTAAAGAAGAAAATTAGTTGTAATGTTTTAGCAGTCATTAACTATTAAACCTAAAATTGATAAAATAACAAATATTTATATCGGACTTTTTTCAATACCTTATAGTTTTAAAATGTTATTCCTGTTTCTTATATATACACTGATAATTTTGACCTGTGGTTATTAAACTAGGAGTTTTGGTCAGTGATAGACCTGAATAGTTTTCAAAAAAGTATAAGATAGGGACATTTTCATCTTTGTTTTAAATAGTTAAATAATTTTTATGTTTTTCGTTTTTATTTATATTTCTACTAGGATTTACTTTTTATCCTGATCAATGTGAAGGTGTAAATTAAGCTACAAAGCTTCCTTCATCATCATCTTCTTAATCAGAATATTAATGTTTCTAAGTAAGTTTTCATTTCTATCACTTAATCTTTCAAAGTGAAATCTCCGTTGAAAATTAATTTGTTTTAAACAACTGGTCTATTCATGACCTCAATTATTCAACCGTCAACACAATCCTCGTCTTTTTTATCGTTATCATTTGAACCAAATGTCCGAAATAAGAAAGTTTTGCCATTATTGTCACCACAGCAAATACACAGTTCAAAGAATACTCGACATGTTATCAATTGTAACCATTTATGCCACAAATCTTCAGCGGATGGGAACTTATTGAATAATATGACACATCCACATGTAGTTAAACATCATTTGTCTTGTAAACCAGAGGCTACTCCGACTAATATTCCAAAGACATTACTTTTATCTCCACCACTACCAATACGTCGTAGACCCGGTGATTCACTAGCATCACATAGTTGTTCAAGAGGTTCAACTAGTCGATCATTATCTTCGGATCATTGTGAACGCAGTAAGTTGTGTGAAACATGACAAATATTTATTAACAGGGGCAAAACGTTATTTCTATTTATAAATACCATTTAATATTTTAATTTGTAGTGAGATAATGGTTATTTAACTTTTAACCAATAAAAACCACTAATTATAGATTATATATGTATAGATAGTATTTCTAATATTTCCCCCTACCCAAAGATGGAGACAACATAAAATTTAACATTCAAAGTTACCCCGCTTCACGTTATCAGGAGGAGATGGAAATAAGAATTATTTATTTATTTATTTTAACACATAGATATTGGTACAAGGAGGCACCAAATACATATGCGCCACACAAATCTCATTTGACTTGTGTGAGGGCTGTGATACTGCCCGGGTGCCCAAACCGAACCAGGTGGTTTTCTTAGGGGGCCACTTCCCGAGCCTTCGACCTGAAGGTGTGATCCACGAGGCAGTAGAGCATCGTAAGGGCATGCAGTCTCCTGGTAGCCGGTGACCAACGATTGGTTCATACGCCGTTTGTTTCCGCAGTATACTGGAGCCCGTATGCACCATTGATTTGGAATCAGGGTTTTACAACTCTCCTAGGTGTACTTTCCATGTCCACTAACCCGGTCAAAGCACCGGACGTTCGCTTTTCGTCCTCTCACTTTCGTAAACAACACCCCCGCCACGAGAAGGTAGTGAGTAGAACTTCCCTGGCAGAGGCTATATACGTGTGGCCATGTGAGAGCATTTCGAGTGGGGGAGCGGACTTTCCACTCTCGACCGTACCAGGGCATTTGGGGGCAATAAGAATTATAATGGTATAAAAATGATGTTACCGAAAATAGTAAAAGATAGAGGTATAATTATATTTAGAATATGAAAATCGAAAAAAATAACTGATCTGTGTGACTAACCGATTTTATGCCATATAAATTAATGTCGTTTTAAGCTTCGCCTAAGTTCGTTCAAACATTCTTGTTAGGTAGCTTGTACCGTCATGTACGGTTTGAACCTAACAAAGAAAAAACCGTTGCCGTCGCGAATAGAATTTAAGTAAAACAACATAGCACATTGTAGTAGGACCTGACTAAATGAAAGCAACAAGTACTTCACTTATTTTCAGCTATTCACATCTGTAACTTCAGTAACTGATTCTCAAATAGAAATTTCATTTGAATCAACTGTAATATAATTCGGAACTTTATATGAAGTGTAGAATGATTTTGTGATTTTTATAATTTAACAATCATATCTTGAAATTAAAAGATGACCTTGACCCGATCTATAATAATGTAGTATGTAACTCTCAACATAGACAAATTTAGTGAGTTTGACTTAAATCACTAATTATTTTTCTTATTCTAACATAACGGATTTTGTAACGACACTTAAATTATTAATTGTTTTGAAATTGTTTCAATACAAGAATTTGTGCAAATTGAAATTCACCGGATTATCATATTGTTACTTCGCTTCGATTGGGACTCATACATTGAAATATATTTCACCCAATATTAGGTTATAAAATTAAAAAAACATCGTTAAACTACATCTATGAATTCTATCTCTAATGGTTAAAAACGTTCATAATAGCGGAAATTTTACGGACGCTACTAAGATGTAGAGGGAAGGGATCATATATTTTTGTTTTTAGCAAAGCAACAATATTTAAAATGCCAAACGGCATTGGACATTTTTTTGAAATTTTCCTAATTACAATCTACTTCGTACGGATTTCTGTCAATGTTTTTTTCATCCTGGTGAATTTTATTCCAATTCTTTCCGTAAGTAAAAGTGACAAATAAATGTGTACCTCGTGTGTTTTCTGTGCGTATGAAAGAGAAAATAAAGTGAAAGAAAATCACCCGATGTCAAAAAATTTGGCACAGTGCCAAAAATTTCCCTTGTTGTTTTCGCTTTATCGTTAGACTTCATGTCCTAAATTAAATGGACCAATCAACTGTGACATAAATACTCTTTATTCATTGGCTAGTCTTGACTACTAGAAATTTTGTTGTTTTCATCTATCAATAAAGTAGGGAAACTATCAAGTACTACAAAAAAAAATAGATAGATCAGCTGATGTAATGTTTAGTAAATTCGTTTTATTTTTTCTGCCTTCAAAAGGGTTAATGGCATTTATTTGACTTTTTTAAGGATTGATCTTTTTTTACCTAGTATTGTTAATCCATTGAATGAAGACGCTTAAAATAATCTGAAATATTTCGAATGGCTTAGGTGACAATGTTGACTTACGAGAAATGCATTAATCTCTCTGTGTCTCCGTAAATTCAAAGCATCATTGAACAAGAACATGAGTAAGTTAAAATTAAATCCCACAAGGTGACTTACCTTTCGAAGAAGTTTTTAAAAGTCACTCTACACTTTCTTGAAACCCTTAAAACTATCAGTAATCAGTCGAAGACATAAATGCTTAATCGTGATTAAAAATCAATATTAGGTAATGTGCTTGAAATGTTGACTGCTGTGTTATTAACTCCTGGTAGATTTCAGCTTAATTGTTTGTGGAACTTAAAAAACTATGTGGCTATTTGGTTTAGTGTTAGATTTATTTCTAATGATCCTGACTAAATTCCATTTGTAATAGTCTTTATAGAGCACTTGTCACTGGATTTAATGATAAGCAACTAGTAATTAGACATAGATTTACATCAACCCGATTTTCCACACTCGATACTAACTCAGTGAGTGGGAATTAACAAAATTAAATGCATTTTAGTTAAAATAATACTAGCAAGCTCAGTAACCAATCCAAAATCGGACGTAGAATTCCTAAAGAACAAATAAATAATAGGAATGAAAAGTGAAAAATACTATTAAATGTGAATATTCATGGGAAAATGTAAAATGAAGGTATTTGAGCCACTGACAAAGATTGTAAATCATGTCACCTAAGGTCTCCAACCATAGATTAGAGTCATTTCATAAACCTCCATTAAGAAGTCCATACTTCCCAACACTGCTCACAACTATGGTCAGTGACTCAGAGCTGATATCATCCGTTCATCTGTCCTATTTTAGTATTTCTCTATCCTACTTACACCTATGCTGTCTAGTATCGTATTTCTAGGAAAGTGGTGATTAGGATTGCCGAAAATACTCCCCCCCCCTTCAATTTAATCACCAAAGGACCATTAATTCATTTATCGGTTTACTTTTTCGACCTAATACCTTCAATAATCTCGCGTGTAAAGTTATGGACATCTTGAGTAAGTAAACCTATGTAGGTTGGGATCATTTATCAGCTGAAGCACTTGAATGATGTAATTTTCACGCTTTGACAGCGCGCATATATCCGTATAAATTTTAGACGCTATATATTTCCTTATTAATATAGTCCTGTTACATCCTTTTTGTTTATCTAAGTTCTTTTTATACATTTTTTATTTCTTAAGAGATTCGATAACATGAATTAGTGCACTGTTGTGCATCACTCTTTTTCACTGATGTGCGTTTGAACCTTGGAAACTTAGTATATTTCAAGTTATACACTTTCCATCGTCTGAAAGGAAACACGAAGTACAATAGACAGCTCGAAATCAATTAGAAGATTTGGACTTGGCAGATGACCTGGCCTTTCCATTCTATACACATCGGCAAATGCAGATGAAGACAACTAGTGTAGCATCAGCCTCTGCATCAGTAGGCCTCAACATACGCGACGGAAAAGCAAGATCCTCAATTGCAACACGGAGATCATCAAGCAAACCAATCACACTTGATAGAGAAGCTCTGGAAGAGGCGGAAAGTTTCAAGTACCTGGGTAGCATCGTCGACGAATGTGGAGGATCTGATGCAGACCTAAAGGCAAGGGTCGGCACAGCAAGGGCCTCATTCCTACAATTGAAGAATATATGAAACTCAAAACAACTGTCAACCAATAGCAAAGTGAGAATCTTCAATACGAACGTCAAGACAGTTCTATTGTGTGGAGCTGAAACTTGGAGATCTACTACAATTATCATCAAAACCGTGCAAGTATTTATAAACAATTGTCTACGTAAGAAACTAAATATCCATTGACCGGATATCATCAGTAACAGTCTACTGTGGGAGAGAACAAACTAATTTCGAGCTGAAGAGGAAATTATGAAGAGATGTTGAAAGTGGATAGTATATACATTGAGTAAATCACCGAACTGCATCACGAGGCGGACGCTAACTTGAAATCGTGAAGGGAAACGAAAAAGAGAAAGACCAAGGGACACATTGCATCGAGAATCGGGAGGAGACATCAAAAAGATAAGTAGCAGCTAGAAACAAACGGAAAGGATTGTCTAGGACAGAATTGGATGGAAAACGCTTGTTGGCGATCCTTACTTCTCCACGAAGGGTAACAGGCATAAGTAAAAATAGTAAGTAGACCAAGATAGTCTTGGAATCGAAACCAGAAGTAGATGGTTTAACCCGCTACATATACTTAATTTTATTGTTAAGTTTGTCTTTTCGTCTTTGTTTTGTTGTTGCCTTTTGATTTTACCTCTAACAAGCCTATAGTTTCATCAAAACAATAAAAATTACTTGATAATAAATCCCGTTTAATAATAATTTTAAGAAGCTAGGTTAATGGGCAGTTTTTTCTCCTGTTTTTCTCTCTTCTAATTTGATCGAAATGTGACAGTTTAAACCAAACTAAGTAACTAGCTCAAACTTGGCATGGAGCCAAATCTCACATCCCTAAAAGATACATGATTTCTTCCCATAACTGACTGCCTATTACTTTTTGTATAGTTGTTATTGTTGTTTATGTGTTTATCATATGTTATCTATCTGGCTTCTGTTCGCATTTTGCTCATGGTCCACCCATTAATAAATTGTATGTACTGTTTAAAAACAGACATATAAATCAAACGTGTATACATTTTGAGATTAATGCTTATATGGGAGAAATATATAAACATACATATATGTGTACGTATGTAAGTGTCATACACTTGTCTGGGATTCATTCAGATTGATTACAGAAAGTCACTGTAGCATGAATTATTACATAGGCCATAATTATCATCTTTGGTTAAATATCTTAAATAGTTGTACTGTCATTCTTTAGTTACCACTATGAGAGATGGTTTCTATTTAATAATGTGAACATAATAATGACAGAGTAATTGAGTTATTTTCAAAAATTTTACAACATACTCAGTAATTATATCAAAGTTATGATTATCTCTTTCTTCTTCTGCATTTTTATTTTCTGTATGAAAAATTTTTAAACAATTTTATGGTGTAAATAGGATAGATACAAATGTCCTCTAGATTCTGCCATACATTCAAAATACTGTAATAAATAATTATAATCTGACAGGTACAATATCACTAGTTCAAGAGTTGTGATTAGCGTAAATGTTAATATTCAATTGATGTACATGTATGTTACTTCGATTATGATAAATATTAGTTAATGGGCAATCGAGACTTATTTTCGCATTCGTCCATTTATAACTTACCCGAAATAGATTAAAAATGTGGATTATTCATTCAGTTATTGGAAAAGTCGGTGAGACTATAATTTATGGTATCATTCCAATCACTTGAAGCGTTAAAGAGCGCCATCAGAACTTATGAAAGGGTGACGTACTGCCATTATGCAGTGAGCAACTCTCATTTCCATAAGGATTAGAAGTTGTATATTAAATTTGTATGTTGGAGAAATGGCCGTAGAGCACCTAGCGGATCCTCACAGTCGATTAGACGAAGGAGGTAATTTGAATAGTGTTATTATATTATTCATGAAGGACTGAAATGAACACCCAATGTCCAGCCTTCATCTATTGTAAGTTTATTGAAGGTTACTGGACTGTTGTTTGTGTGGATGTGCATCAAAATCATGAGTGCAACTATCTGAGGCACCACAACAATTCTTCGGTGCACAGGTTAACTGACGCGGAATTTAAAACAGTGCCACCTTTTCTGATTTCGGGTACAGCAGCATTCAATGTTGTGCACTCCGTTTACCAATCGTATGGGAAGCGCCTGAACCCTCAAAATGTTTTTTACATGCATCAAAAAGTGTTCTCGCAGGCCAACCTTCCTGGTAAGCAGTGTGCCTATTTATATTGTAAACATTAGATAATTACGCTAAATTGAAAACTCACATCATATCAATTGGTGGGTTTTTTGAGTACGAAATTGATGAAGAAAATTGTCTTCAGTTCCTTTTCTTCTCAATCGCTGATCAAATGAATTCGACAACTAGTTTTCTTGATATTGTTGGTTTTGACGGGACCCACAAAACCAATAACGAAAATTTATTTTTGTATCAAATAGGTGTATTGGATATGAATTTAATGTCAGTATCTGCTTAAGTAGCCTTTATAAATTGCAAAACATCTGCATTGCTGTCACGTTTACTTTCATTCTTCAAGCGTTCAACTAGCAGTCGGGAGTTGGTTAGTATTGTCACAGATGACTCACCTGCAATAGCCGATAAGATGTCTTACTCATGAAATAGTCAACTTGACGGACCGGATTTACTCCTGTTTGAAAAGTGTGGTCGATAATCGAACTCATCAATGATAACATGAAATGCTAACTACTATATTAACTCCCCTTGACCTTGCCTTGATTAGTCACCAATTACAACACGTATAAAGAGAATGGGTGAAAGTGGCATATAGAACTCTTAAGACGGATAGAGAGCCTTTATTTATTTGTTTTGTTGACTCATTTTTCCAATTCTCTAGTTACTGTTCAGTATGTTGTTCATGTCTCTATTTTCCGTGTTCAATAGAATGTATTAACTGTTTATTTCGTATACTAATTGTGTTGATTTGCGTTTTAGAAATATATAAAGTTTATCAGGCCAAATAGTTTACTTGTTGTGACTTTGGCTAAGCTAAGACTCTATGTTTGACAGTCTGGGAAATTGTTTAGAAAATCATATGTAGGAAATTGCTTTATATACTGTTTTCATTTGACATTTAGCTGACGACGTGAGTTTTCGAGAAAAAAATATCACCTCTAAAATGTAAGAATTCTCTCTGAAAGCATCTAAATTATTAATTCAATCTGTCATAATTGTTGACTTTCCTCAACTAAAAGTCTAAATCTAACTTATGTAATTAGAATTCCTCTTTGTCAAGCAATTAAACTTGACGGTTAATAGTAATATTAATGATAGTTTAAGTTATCCGTTTTTTGATATTCAGTTCCGAATTTTGATTGGTCTTTATTGGCCTATGTACATCTCGTGTGGATACCTTCGATATAGCTATGTCATTAGTAATTTAGAATAGATGGACTGTAGGAAGTTGTAGAATCCAAGACGCGCTTTTCGGCCTATTTAAGATTCGTCATTCCAATTTATCAATACCCCAGTGCTGATCACTTACTCGTTAAACAGGTTAAGGATTTTACAAACTTCGTAATCTGGCGGATAGTGTATTTTTGTTTGGATCAAAAAGTAATGTATTCGAATCTCAGTGTGAACTTCAGCACGAATGCATGTACATTCACCTAACGGGTCCCAGATGAGAAGAAATGTACATCCTGGATTCCGCTGTTAGCTTTAATCCATCTATCCTAAGTAACTTGACCGTTTACGACTTTTTAAGATCATCATAATAATTAAATATACGTTGACTAACTAAATTTTGACATTGTCTTCTTCATTGGTCAAATATTCTGACCTTTACTAACTGTAAATTGTAATTTTTACCATCGCTCACATTATAATCACCATACCGATTATTGTACCATCATCAGTTATCTTGAAATGTTAACATTTACTTGGGGAATTGGAAATATTTAACATTTTTCCTAATTCAATGCAGTGAAGATTTTCCACATCACTTTTTTCGTCATTCCTTTAGACAGATTTTAAAAACTTTGCATTTTTGTCTATAGTTAACTAATTCCTTTTTTATGGTTTGCATCATATGATTTGGCTCAAATTCACTGTGTTTATAATGTCTGGTTTTATCTTTTCTGGACTGTATGATAAACGAATTGTCTAGATAAAATGAAATTCGTTTGTTTCAATTCGCTATTTCACTGGCAAGTGATTAGATTAATTGGAAAGTAATTTTTTTCTACTAAAATGATTGGTAGGATTCGTTTCACTGAAAACGATTATTTTCAAGGTTGTTTTCCCTATGAACCACGAAAATAGAAAGACGGTTTACAGAGTTATGGAGCAAACTAATGAATGAAGATGGTCAAAAATGCATGTTAATTGTATCTAAATGATCTCTTACTGTATTCGTGAATCATTTAGAGTTGATATATTTCAGTACAAATGTACGTACTATGAAATTTAAGAGGTTTATTTGCTTCATAGTTTACTTCACGGACTGACTGTAGTTAGACCCCCCAGTGGGATAGTGGTTGCAGATTACTGAGAAGTCTTTTAGTAAAACTAAACAGCTTCCTGATCATTAATAGTTGTCTAATTTAGACTTGAAACTACAAAGCTCAACAGTCTCCATAAATAATCCCTCATGCTAATTTATTTATTCATTACTAAAAGGAATGTGGCTATTTCTAAGTTCTCTTTGGTATTTTTCTATCCAATGATGCCTCGTAAATTTTTGCGCGAAATTGCAAGCTCATTGTAAGAAAGCTTATGTGTTATATGAGCTAAATGAAACCTGACAATATTTGGTTCTTAAAATGACTCGAATTGACAAAAATATCTTAGATGAAATCAAACAGTAAATATGACTTGATGTTTTAAAAAAAATTACAAGAAATGCCCTCTCTTGATACAGACTTTATGGTAGAGTATTTGATTTTATTCAATGCATTGTTAAGGGTGTAGGCTTAGCTTTTCAATAACTATTAGTTTAAGATTGTAGTATGTTTTCTCGAAGGCTCTCTTTATTCTATCTCGAAACTATGCTATGTGATTTTCCTCTAAATGGTGAAGTATTATATACTCTTTTCTTCGAAACAGAATTCTAGAGTTTTTATGTTATCTGAGTTTTAAACCGATTTAAGAACTTTGTCGGATAACTGTTTGATATCAGTTTCTTGGTCAGAAATTTGTTTCTTCTTCGACAGCATCAGAATTGATACATTAATTCACTCTCCTGTTTAACTATTTCCTGGTCTCATTTCTTGTGTTACACGTTTGAAATAAAGTTCATTCTAACAACTTCGTATCGTTTTTTATACTATTGACTATTGTCGTCAAAACGGTAGTCTGGTTTAGTACTAAACGAGAATTAGGATAGACTTGTTGATACCTACTACAACTTATCTGGATAGCCATGGTGACCGACAAATATAAATGAATTATGAGTTTGAATATTTGAGATTGGGGGATACAGTTGGCTATATGTCTTTTACTTCTTTCTCTGTCTAGTTGTGTGTTACCCAAGTGTTACAACTATGCGTCGTAGCTGATTCGGACCACAGACCTTACACTATCCTTCTATGTTTCACACTGATCAGCTTGATGTCTTTTAGATTTCATGGGTCTATTAGGCGAATTATTCAGGACTGCACCGAAAGAGATCAACATTTTCTAAAATAAACAATATAAATTAAACGAATTATGTACGTGTAGTACTGAGAAATTGAGTGACTGTCATATTCATTAGTTCATTAACTTTTGTTTCGTATTTCATTTGTTTACATTTTGATCATATAATCTGAAATTATTTTTTTTCCAAAAACAGATCATTCAACTTTAGATAATGAATACTGTCAAACGAAAACTTCTTTTCAGTCATTAAATTCAACTACAAATAAATTAATCAAATCGCAATCACCTCTAATGAAATTGAAAAAGTCTTCACATTTTATATCATTAACTAAAAGCAATGAATTTAATTCAAATGATTTTTTATATACTGAAAATCATGCAAATCGTCACCAGGTTACTAATCAATTAAATAAAGAAGAATTTTCACATTTTCCTGTTGGTTTTCGATGGAATTACATTTTTGTAAAATTATCCAATTGGTTTCAACGTGTACATACAATAAATTATTCAAAAACATCATCAGATCATGTATCATCTTCTATACCGATACATAATAATAAATCTGCTTCTATTTCAAATTCCTCTCGTTATCAAATAAGAAAATTTGAACCAATTAGATCACGAAGTCAATCAGATGAAAAATCTGGCAAAATTAAATCTAACTTACGTAATAATCATTTTTTTAGTGATTCTAAAACAAAAATACAATTATCAAATGAAATTAATAATCCTAAACGAAATATTTTATCGTAAGTTGATTTATTTTCCTTTTGCACAGTAGTTTATCACAACTAAGTATAAACAATGTAAACGTATTTATATTCAATTATTGTTATTGATACAATTCAAATACATTTATTTAATTTGATAATCATTAACTGTTTAACTAAGTCATCTAAGTAGTATCAGAATACCTGAGCTAATATCCTCAAGACGTTGAATAGAATAATTTAGAATCGGTTGTAATGACACAAATACATTCAGTCTTTTCTTGAAAATATTTATCTTTTACTTCGTAAATTTGTTCTTCCTTCTTGAATTATATTGTCTCTGTTCACTTTTCCCTATTGTTATTATTATTCTTACTACTACTTCTAATACTGTCACGACTTTTACCACTCCGACTATTGTCTTGATAATTTCACCTTACCGTACTGATGTGGTATGGTAAATTAAACAGATAAATAGATGTGATTTTTAAGTTGATAATTGTAGAGATCTAATTGTTATAACTTGTGATCGCAGATTAGAGAGCAGTGACTTATCGATCGGAACAATGACGCGTAAACCCGTAGAGTTCTAATTGGCCCTGCTTTCCGCCTAACCCAGCCAGATAAGTCTAGAACACAAGTCTCAGTCTGTGTGACATGAATCATTATATTACAAACATACTGAGTTTATACACCAATCAAACAGACCACAACGTACCAATAAAATATGAAACAACATTTGTACAAGAATAAGCCAGATGTGGCTGTGAGTGAGGGAGGTAGTAATTAATATATTGCGTATAACTCAAGAATGGTAAGACGTATAATAATAGTTTATGGGTCAAAATAAAGCTTATAAAAAAAGGAATATGAATATGCATAGTTTAGTTACCTAATAGTTATACAATAGAAATATACATTTAGTATTGATCCATCAATAGATCCCAAAAGTTACCGCCCATTATTGTTGGGACATAACACTAATCGGTTGAAAAAGCATGTAAATTAAAATATTTTTCTTAAAAAACTGAAATTTAATTAAAGACTCATTACAAATAGTGTAAAGCCAGAAAAATATTTTGGCCTTGTTTAAAACTTATTAGCATCACATAGCCACAAGATTGAACTGGTATCCATATTGAAAAGTGATTGGCTCTGTTACAATTTTTATTATTATCACATTTACTATTATTATTATTATTTTAGTGGATGATTTTCTGCCACAGACTTCCAACAGTGTATTATGAATACTGTATCCACTTACTTTATAGTTTATCTACAAATTACGACAGTTATAGGAGAACTGATTTTTACGTTCAGATATATTTAGAAACGTCTCATTATTTAATTTCCTTTATTATGGAACGATTTCAATAAAGAGTTGTTTTGTTGTACTTAGATTAATTGTAAAATTCAGTATTATTTGTCTACATTTTCGTATAATTAAATATTTAGTGGGGTCAGACAGTTAGCTACAACCTAGGACCAGGCATATATATACATCGGTCCAAGTTGCCACACTTCATTAGCACTACTAGATGATCACCAAATTCATAGAAGTAGTTACTTCAGTAGTGGTAATATATAAAATAAAGATTGCGTATGAGGATATAATGCAGAGAGAAAGAAGTAGTTCGTAGAAAGATAAAATAATTTTAGCCTCACGGTTTAAGGGAAGATAAAGATTGTATATATCTACTCCATTGTGATCGATCCTCATCCATGTCACCCAGAGTTTCTAACCATTGTTTAAGATAGTCGCGCGGATCCCAACCTAGTTGTCTTCATCTACTAACATGGCTCAGACCAGAAGTTAGTGACTTCAAGGACTGATGCCACGTTTTGGTTTGACCGCCCCTTTCTTTCAACCGTCTTCAACACTATTCAGCATTGCGCGTCGTGATAATCGGTGTTCAGGCATGCGTAACATGTAGCCCAACCATCTCAGTCGGTGACGATTTACGACCATCATTCCCTAATACCCTGCGCTTAATCTCACTATTATTTAACCGGTGATCCCAGCAGATGCAAGCAATATTTCTAAAACTTCTGTAATCATATACTAGTAACTTACGTGTGGTGAGTTAAAAACCTAGTATTTATCATTCATTCATGATGACAGTTGAACGGAATCCTAAATGATTTAAGTATTAATGAAATAAGTTTAATATACATGTTTTTCATATCACAATAGAAGTAGACTATTGAATAAATTAGTAGTTTAATGGTTAGCTGTGGTAGTTAACTACCAATCATTGAATTTTTGGTCAACTAGCTAATATTACAAAACCCTCTTACAAAATTTATAGTTCAAAATAGTTTAAATGATTAAACACCAAAATCAAAATCAGTAGAAGTTAATGTACTCAGCTTAAAGTCACAATGTTTATATAGAGACTAGTGATCTTGTTTCACAGTTCAAATAGTAATAAGTGGTTTAAAGTTTGAATCTGTTATCTACTGGGTATACATATAATTACAACTTAATATTTATTACCAACTGTTTCTTTTTTTTTAAAGTACTTCTAAGATTCGACTAAAATGTAATTAGTATAGGGGTTGTGGAGATTATTAAGTTTTTGATTGAGATAATGAATCAATTGATGTTAGACCATCACAATTGAAAACCTGGAAGCACTGGACGGCCGTTTCGTCCTATTGTGAGACTCCTCAGCAGTGCGCATCCGGTTGGTTAAGCGTTCGCGCTCGAGGCTGAAGGCCCTGGGTTCGAATCCCGCTCGCGGGATCGTGGATGTGCACTGCTGAGTAGTCCCACAATAGGACGAAACGGCCGTCCAGTGCTTCCAGGTTTTCAATTGTGATGGTCTAACATCAATTGGTTCATGATCTCAATAAAATGTAACTGTTGAAATTGTTCAAACTAATACTGAATAAATATAGTTCGTCTCTTATGTATTTGTATTTTATTATTCAGATCAGATATTGAATGTATAAACAATTTGAAAAAGGGAAGTTTACCATTCTTTTCATCTTCATTAATATCTAATGAGAAATCAGTTGAAAATTTAATAGATTTTTGTCATACTGATCAATCTCCTATAGTTTCCAATAATTATTCTTGCAGTAATAGTAACAATAGTAATTCATGTTCGTGTTCAATTATGTCGCTCAATGATTTAACATACAGTAAATTTCATGAAATCTCTTCAAAATATAATGATATAAATTGTTTTTGTACTCAAAGTTGTCCAATAAATTCACATCAATTAAATGAATTACATCTTGATAATGAGATATCATTTACATCATGTGTATCTGATTGTTGTTTTTGTCAAAGATACCTCAATTACTGTGATCATAATCGGTTAGTTTCATTTTCTTCTAATAATCAATATGAACAAGATGATCGAATTGTACAATCATCACATTATCATGATCTAAAACAACAGTATTACCATCATTATTATTCTTGTCAACATCATCACCATTATCACCATCATCATCATCATCACCGTCGACTGCAACATCATCATTTAAGTCATGATTTCAATCAACATCATATAAAGTTCACGAATAATCAACACACAACAAATACATGTTGTACAAATTATCCAAAACAAAACAAAGCTGTAAGAAATTTTCATTTGAATTTAGAAAACCAATATACTACTATTGGTCAACTAGATCAAATGAGATCTGATTGTAGGAAAATATCTCCATCAAATAATAAAAAAATTGATTGTTCATCTCCGGTTATCACTTTACAGTGTTTAAATTTGACAGAAAAACAATCAAATAGATTGGACGATAATATTGGAAATGTAACAAGTGTAGATAGCAATAATAATAATAATAATAATAATAATAATAATAATAATAATAATAATAATAATAATAATAATAATAATAATAATAATACAATAGATAATGAGCTTTCAATGAATACAAGAAATATCTCATCATGTTTCATAGATTATCATCAACATCATAATCAAACGCTTGTACAAGATCCTGAGCATGAAGCTGTTGAGCATATGAATGAAGGTGACAAAATTGTAAAATGTACAAACTCAGAAATTACATGTTCAAATTTAGCTAGTGGTAAATCTTTTGATGAAAAAGTACATTCGACGAATATTTCAAAAACTGATGTTACTACTACTACTACTACTACTGCTAATACATTTCTTCATCAAAAGTTTGTAACAGATTTGATACTTTTAAAACGCGTAAGTTATTTATAAATAATAATTGAATATATTCACCATTCAAGATTTAACTATTTTCTATATGTTGGGTCAGAGTTGAAATACAAGGACGAGCTTGAGAGAATCTGGGAATGAGTTTGGCAGGCTGTTAATACATTCAGCCAATCAGAATACAACGAATGCCTGAGGGTTTTATAATGCCATGATTGGGATACAGAGTTGTTATTGAGGCCTAAGAGGATAATTATTTGGGGTTAAGATTAGGATATGTAGTTCAGGTATTAGAGTTAGAATTAGGATCTACACTTCATAATTGACGGTTTAGGTTTTAAAAATTATTACTGGTTTTGCCAAACCCTGAACTGTACATCCTAATTTTTTATAAATATGCCATAATATTTTTTGAGTGAATCTTTTCAGGATGGAGTTAACCGGGAGAAATTCCTTCACCATCCGTAAACGACATTTCCAATTTATATATGATGCGCCGTGACGTTCAAACTAGTTATACATTCACTACCTCCCCGCTCTTATTGTTCAGCTTTGTTATATCCTATGACCCGTCAAGTATCATGTGACAAAATCGCCAATCAAAATATCGATTTCTATGACCTTGTCCCTATGCTACATCACTGGTGTGTTAAACAGCACTAGCAGCCTTAAGTTAACTCTAAGTCTTCATTGGTCTTCTGTAAAACAACTCACCTAACCCATCCCGTTCATTCCAGAACACAAATATCAGCCTCCAGTGTGTGAATCGTATATCTCAGACATATGTGGTTTATATACAGGCCTACCAGACTGCATCACACCATAAAATTAAAAAAAATTACTATATAAGATCAAGTCAAAAGTGGCTGTATGGGATACTGTAACTAATAAACTGGCAATAAATTAAGAAGGATAAATCGTATAACAGTAGCCAATAAGTCAAATGAATGCTTATGACAAGAATAATATGAATATACATATAATCTAGTCACCTAGTAATTATCCATTGAGAATCTATGTAATAATAATTCACAAATAATTCCTGGCGGTTACTATTCATTTATTCTTCATTCAGATATAACAAACTCAGCTAATGTTGGTTGTTGTTTTTTTTTCGAGATTATAGTAAGAGAAATGATCTCAAGAATAGTATTCCAAAGTTGTTTATTTTTTGTGTTAATCACTGTAATGTAAATTTCAGTTTTGATTATATTAGAAATGATGCTAATTTAACTGGGAGATCATAATAATGATAATTTTATTTTGGATAATATACCGCTTTATTTATCAGTTTAGATATTATTTGAAGATCCAAAATTAAATTGTTTTGTTAAAATAAAATATTTAGTATTATATGATTGTGGATTATAATCCTCAATGGATTATCAATTCAATTCAACTGGTTTTCACATTTAAAGTACTTTTAAGTATTAATCAATGCTTATAATCACTTGCATTATATTCGATTTAAGGACTTACACTAATGTACATATGCACTGTGGGGTTGTTGTTTTTTTCATTTAAAGATATGTAGGATTATTTCAAATTAATAAGCTTAGTAAAATGTTTCCTCTCTTTAACCATTTTTCCATATTTATTAAATAAACGAGAAAATTCTTTATGAATTTTAGTTCGAGTACTTTGTATTGATTAATTCCAAAGGTTTTTAGGGACATCTACAAGTAGTTAGTAGATTTTGGTGGCGTTTTGTTCTCTGAGCTGGATGGTTTGATCGTGGAGCTTTCATCGTTCTTCTGAACGACATCATCAGCACAAACTTCAAATAGAAGTGAAGTGTTCGAATTTCTCCATATGTGTTTCACAGCTTGTTCTGTGCAACTCGATGTTGACTGGTTCTTGTTGACCTTAAATTTATCATTGTTTACTTCTTTGTTTTGGTTGTGTCTCCCATTGGTTTGATTTTTGTTCCTATATTTATGCATGATTTTCCTGATTGGTTGATAAATTGGATTGATTTCAATATGTTTGTTGATCGCTGATTGACCTGAGTGCCAGGCTTCTAAAAATTCTCTGGTGTTTTTGGAGATTCCTCTGTCTGAGATTTCTACATTTTCCCAATCGAATGAGTGCCCGTAGTTATCCACGTGTATTGATATAAGTGAAGAGATATCATGGCGTTTGACTGCTAATTGATGTTCATGTAAGCGTAGGTGGAGGGGGCGTCCGCTTTGCCCGATGTAGTGTTTGTCGTAGTTGGTACAATTTATTTTGTAGATGATGTTTGGTTTGTTTTCCTTTGATATTTCATCCTTTGGTTTGCATAGGATTGATTGTAGTGATTTTGTTGGTTTGTGTGCCACACCTATTCCGAAGGTTTTCAGTAGTCTCGTTGCGGTTTCTGATATTCCTTGTATGTACGGTAGGGTGATCCTTTTGTTGATTTTTGTGCTTGACTTGGGTTCTGATGCTGTGTGCCGTTGGTGCTTTTTGATGAAGTTGATTGGGTAGCCGTTCTTCTGAAATATATCCTTTAGGTATTTCTCTCCATTTTTTCGTGCTGCTAGTGTGCTGCAGTGTGTCCTCGCCCTCTTGAACAATGTGTGTACGCAGTTGATTTTGTGAGCTGTTGGGTTGTTGCTGTTGTAGTTGAGAATTTGATCTGTATGGGTCGGTTTCCTATATACTTGAGTTTCCAGTTTTCCTGTGTCAGTTCTAGTGATCAATATATCCAAGAATGCTAGTTGGTTGTTTGACTCCTGTTCCATTGTGAACTTGATGTCATTGAAAACGTTGTTGATCAGTTTGTATGTGTTTTCCAGTTCATTCTTTTTGATGATGACGAAGGTGTCGTCTACGTAGCGAATCCAAATTTTTGGCATGATCACTGGTAATATCGTGGCTTCTCCACCATCGCAAGTAGTTAGTAAAATTAAAATAATTTAAAGAGCTATCCGACTATTATCACTTTGTACTATAAGAACTTTTGTGATTTGTCAAGTTTCATATATCTTATTTAAATCTCCAACTATCAGGCTGAATTTGGTTTGTAGTTTGTATCTTCCTATTGATATCGATGAATTTGCTTTATTCTAAATGAGTTTATCTCAATGGAATTTTCTATTTGCCATATGAATGTTACGTAAAAATGTAATTGAGTCAACAAAGCAAAGAATGCTCGATTTTCGTTTTGTTATATTTCAAGACGTTTACACAAATTTTCTGTTATTCATATTTTAAGTAAATGAACCAAATAAATTATCCGCTTTTCTAGACATCCATATTGTACTATTTACTTCTTTTCAATAAGAAACAAGTTGAATTTTTCAATTTCCAATTGGATTTCTAAGTTTTTATTCAAACGTTTTATAAATCTTTTTATACTACTGATAAGTAGTGCGATAAACAACATTAAATGTTTTTCTGTTAAAGATTGGTTGGTACTGGGGTCCATTGACAGTGGATGAAGCTGAATTGCTATTAAAAAACTGCACAGATGGAACTTTTCTTGTACGTGACAGTAGTCATGATTCATATATTTTAAGTGTCAGTTTTCGCTCTGGTGGTCAAATTTATCATACAAGGATTGAACATCTGGCTGGTAAGTTATCTTAACAGTAGGAATCGGTACAATAAAAATAGTTGTTAAATACCTTACATATTATATCTTATCTTATAACACTTTCAACTATACTTAAGTTTTTATGCATTTAAATCTATTAAGCTCTTTAATTAACTTATTTAATAAACGATGTCATCCGGTCGGTAACAATTTGTCTATATCTTTACGTTATTGCTATCATGTATGAATGATCACACATTACAGCCCACACGTATATAGGCCTTGCTGGCTTAGATGTTACTTAACTAAGTAATTCGATAACCCCTTCGCTTTCTAATATATATGTGCATCTTAAAACCCATTATTTTATAAATTCGCCTGCATTCTCATTTTATCTGTTTTCTCTTTGTGTATTTGATGGTCTTGTTATGTGTACTATGCTATAGTAAACTGTAGTCGTCTCTTGATACTGTCTTTTGAATTTATACGCCTCTGTTAGTTATTTAATAACGATTATGAGAACGGATGATATACTAAAATACAGGGATTATCCCGAAGATCTTCTACTACAGTCTAATCAAGAGAAGTTTATGTATATATTCTTCCTGTTCCATCTTATATGATGTTAAAACTGCTCGTAGGAATCGTGAAATCCTGGAATCAAAATACATGATATTGTTACTAAAAATGCAATGCATTTTAACAAGCGCCAATTTGTGAGCTATTGAAGATATTTACACATACCAAGGTGTGGACAGAGGAGAAGTACCTTTTGTTATATTTATATAGGAATTATTTACTAATTAACAGCCAGTAGCTCGATCAATTCATCTATGGAGCCCGTCGTTTAGATCGGACGATGTTTGTTGACGGGCTCTCCACATTAGTGGCCCGAGATCTGACTCCAAGGAGAGCGTATGAATGTTTGTTATCGCATATCCTCGTATATAATCATCGACTTAAATGGCGTTAGTCAATAACGGATTTAGATAAGTCAAATAACGAGAATGGACTTTTGAATGCATATATTTCGTATATGAAGCGAATGGAATAGGAGAAAGCAAAACGACGAGCATTGGAGATGTCGGGTAAGCCAACTCCCCTTTAACCAAACGTTGATCAATAATTATAGTTACACAATAATAAGTTACAGAAATGTGATGAGTAATGGGATAAGAAGTATACACACACCTACACGCTCATATAAAAACAGTCAAGATTGATAAGCGAATAATTAAAAAGGTCAAAACGTGACTCAAGTAGAATGAATAGAATGGGTTGTCCGAAAGCTAGGATAAGGTATATGAGCTTAACATAATAACCAATACTATACATCTACTAACAAATCGAAACGAGAAATGTACGCAGCAAGTATATGCACTGTTACAAATAACCAGATGTTTAATGAAAACACAAGAAATGAATGCAAACGGTTAAGGATGTTAATTAAATATAATTACAACAGTAAATTGATCAAATATCACATTTTCGTAGAAATACTTAGTAAAACCGTACATTAACAAGGAAGATTCATCGTCAAGCGCCTAAAAATGGTTGAGGACGATATAAGTTACTAAATAATAGTAAGTAGTATAAAAATGAGCAACCATAAACTGGCAAACTCGAATTACAGCCTTACTTTTCGAGTGTTGTCAACACCTAAAAACAGGAATTTAAACCAAAAGAACAATAAATTGTATTTGATATTGATTCTATCTATGTTTCTATTGGAGAGCCTTACACTTCAAAAAATTTGTGTTCAACACAAATAACAAGTCATATATGTTGTCTTTAACGGCATGGCTCATTACAAATTTAAGAGAATGTCATTAAATGTTATGGTTTGAAGTATTAACGCTACAATTACCATAACAAAACAAATATTTTGCGGTAAGGTTTGATGTATACAAACAACCAATTAATCAGTGTTTTTCTGTAGTGGTTAGTATTGGTCGAATTTTAATTCACTAAATTAAGTATCTTTTACTGCCTTACTGAAGAACTGTATTTCGAGTCTGAGGTTTCATTGCAATATCAGATAACTTTTGAAAATTCGGATAATAAAGTATAAACCTAGATGTTCAATATTCCGGTGTAGTTTATTCACCAATCAACACTAATATAAATGTTAACCATGAAATTGTCTCATTGTGTGCTCTTAATATCTAGACTACCATACCGTTATCATTTCACGTTACTGCACGTTCAATACTTCCTAGTTTCCAACGGTTTTCTAGCTAAGATTAGTCTATGATGTAAACTGAAAATTTATTAATTTTAGAAACTTCCTATCTAAAATATTTTTAAAATATTCATTGTATTACAATAGTTGTCCTATGTTATTTGTTCATTTATAATTACAGGTAAATTTAGCTTGGCTCTATTAAATGATTTAAATGACAATATTTCATCAAGTGTAGCTGAGTGTATTGAACGTGTAATGGTTGATTCTTTTCAAGATCGTATGCATTTTTTACCAACTGTTGATGACTCTTCACCATCTATTAATATTAATACCAATGTACAGTTTATGAATAATGATCAACATCAATCTGACCAACATCGGCAACTTCAACAATTTAATAATCATAATAATATTAATAATAATACATCACAATCATTCGAATCCACACGCCGTACTACCTCTACTACACATATTAAAGCTTCTTTAATTCATCCATTGTCACGTTTTTTAATTGTTCCATCATTAGTACATTTATGTCGTTTTGAATTGCTGTTACATGTTCGACATGATCATATTGATTTATTACCATTACCACCTCATATATTACGTTATTTAAAAGAAAGTCAATATTATGCAGAATTTATTCCAGCTTATTTAGAATTATTAACCAATATGAATAGTAATAATGATAAAGTTTAATCACAATTTTAATAATAATAATAATATGGTCAATTTACATGGATTTCTTTGTTTTATTGTAAGAAAATTTACAATCAGCATTTCTATTATTACATTCCAATATATAAATAAAAATTTATTATTATTCATTCAATATGTTGTATACAATGATGAAACGATAAAAGATTATCAATGACAATGGATACTCTACACAAATTATTATTATTATATAGTTTTATGCTGAGTAAAAACAGAAAGAAAAAAACATTCTGTTTTGATGTTGTTCGTTTAGTTCTATTTATTTGTTTGTTTCACATCTACTTTTTATTGATTACAGTTATGTGTGTGTGTGTGTTTTGAATGCAACTGTTGATGTTGTGTTACTATCATGTTGATTATTGAGAATTTACCATTGTGGATATCACAAACTATACTACTATTTAATCATGAATAGTAGTTCTTTTTTTTACTATAGTTTGTTTAGTGAATATTTAGACATATGAATACAGAATTTGTTTGATTATAGTTCTTTCTTTCTTTTTCTTTTTTAAAGAACAATCAAGAAAAACTATGTATGAATTCTACCTCACATTATGTAAATATGTGTTCTTTCCTTCAAATAATTACAATATATATATTTACAGAATTTCTATTCATAAATTTTAAAGTGAGCGTTTAGTTCATAAATATCCATATAAACATAAACTTGACTTAAAAATCAATACGACATTCAAACGGATTCGAATATTGAACATCAGTTCTTATTTTTTATGTTCTCTCTTTATTGATTATTTGTTATTGTAGTTGTGTTTTGTTCTTCTTTTTTTTGTTGTTGGTTTTATATTATCGACAGTGATAATAAGATGGACTTTTACAACATAAACTTCATTATTTTATTAAATTTTCCATCGGTTATTATTATTTGTGTATATAAGTGTGCTAATCGTACTATTTAGCTTATAGTCTTACTAGTTTCTTTTGTCTTTTTTGTTCTTCTGGTTATTTTCACTGTTTATTTTTTATAGCTGTTATTATCAATGTGAATATTTCTAGTGTGTAGTATTAGTAGTATTAGTAGTAGTAATTGTATTAAGTAGTAAGATTTAATCACTGTTTAAATATGTTTCAATGTTCTGTACGTCTGCTTACCGAAATATTAATGAACTGTGTCATAGTATTATGACAATCAATCTCTATTTTGTTGTTTTAATTTACATTACAAACACAAATATTAATGATAATAAATAGTTTATTTAAGTAAGAGATAAATTTTAACAAAACTATTGTACGTGTAAATAGGCTAATAGTTTTATTTATATTTTCAAGTAGAAATAAGCAAAATGTAACGTACATAGATTTATGATTAAATGATCGACAAATTATAAATCCACACTTCATATTCAATTGATCGAACTGTTGAAATCAGGGAAAATTCTTCTTAGAAAAGAGTGAGTATGTGTAAGCAACTACAATAGTTTACCATCGTAATTATTATTATGACATTTAATAGACCTTTTCTTTTCAGTCCTTTCAAGGATCTAATCTGAAACACTTAAACTTCACCTTGAATATATTTACATTAGTTAACAGAAAGTATTACATAATATCTGGATAGTTTAGTTAAAACTGTGAGTTTCTTACCATTGTGACAATGAATTCTTAAATGTTTGTTGGTGATTGGCAGAATAGTTGGATCGTCAAAAACATGGTAAGAATTTTTAATGTCCATGTTTCGACCAAATATTAGGTTCTGCCATTCAGAAGAAGAGAAATTAATGGATCAAAACCACTTCGCACTGTTCTTGTTGACTTCTTACAACATAGACCATAAATCATAAATTTCTATTTTAATAGTAGAGATTATATTGAGTTAATCTCTTGATTTTTCTAAAGACTAAGTTGAAATGAATATGATTCAGTTAAGTTTACCAAAATTTAGCTATGGCGTAATAACCATTTATCAGTGTAGTCAAAAGCCATTAAAATCCGTGAAATATTTGTAGATAATGGTTTGATTTAGTACATTATTACCACACATTGGCATCAACTCAAGATCCATTGAAAATTGGGAGGTAGGAGACAGTTGTTCCGTCTTTGATAGTCCCGAAATAATATACATCAAGAATCTAACCAAGAACCTTGCTATCTGCCGATAAGGGATTTTATGGACCATATTTTCACGTGATTAAAATATCCTAGACTGAACCTCTATTACGGTATTGAATGACGACTACAGCCGGATCCTGATATAAAACGTAACAGCTATCTTTTACAATGGGATGTCAGTTAAAATGCTTATCAATTACTATCACTAGTTACAGTGAAAAATGTAGTCTATCTCAAGGATGATATTCAACATATTGATTATGTTTCTATTGGTTGTAAATCGATTTTTACTCAATTCGAATTAGTGATTTGCTATATGTTCTCAAGATGGCTATTCATATCTGTTTATTCTATTTATAATCATAGTTCCCAGTAAGGGATTGTCCAGTTTGTTAAATTTCATTAGAGTCATGAACCAGTTGAATTTACACAATCATTCAAAGGCTGGGAGCACTAGATAGCCGTCTCTTCCTAGTATGAGACCCCTCAGTAATGCCCATCCACTACCTCGCGTCCGAAAATCGAACTACTGAGGAGTACCATACTAGAACGAACCAGTCTTCCAGTGCTTCCAAGTTTCTAATGGTGATCTAACTTAGATCGCCTCATGGTTTCAATTATAATCATTGTGACAGAAAGAAAGTACTTGATTCTTTTGAGCTCAACATTCCGCAAAAGCGTAGTCAGAACATAGTAAACCATATCTCTCAAACCGATGTTGAACGTAATATAGCGAAAATAGCCTCTTTGGTTGTAATGGATAAGTTTTTCATCAGAGGCTAAAGTGGAGATTGATTAAAAACTAGATGCTGAGACCAGTATTATTATCCCTTGCACAGATGATACCAGTAGAATATAATCACTGCCTATCACAGAAGGCACTGTCAGTGACATAGAAAGCGGTTATAAGTACGTTGATGAAGGTAGAGTAGTTGGTCAGTCACTAAAGCCTTCGAATGCTTTGGCTTTTACAAGCATATTGTTGTAAGTTCTGTACTTCCAATTGACACAGAGTAGTTATCTAGGGAAGCATTGCTTGACTTTTCAGAGACGTCTTTACGTAGCTGGAGGGATTTGGGTGGTCAGTGTAACGGAAAGAACACACCGAAAGTCTTTCTAAAGCATTTTATTGGACAGTGTTATCATTTTTTCATCCCTTTTCCCTGTTATGTATTCTAAACTTTATTCAGATCTCTTTTAGCTACACTTTATGTTCTTCTGTCTTCCTTGTCTTGGCTTTGATTTTTGACTTTGATTAAAGATTTACCATACCACAAAGTTGCACGATGGCTGGCAGATAAATTAGAACCACTTCGTCAACGATTAGCCACCTATACACTAAAGGATTCATTTGCATTTTCTGACAGCTGGAATCACATAAACATTGCTGGTAAGTTTATAGTTTCCTTTGATTTGACATCATTGTTTACAAAAATACAACTTCTTGAAACCATAGACATAATTTGTCAGCATCCTGACATCCTACATCTACCAGCAATAGAATTCAAACGACTATTACTCATGTGTACAAAAGAAGTTCAGTTCCAATTCAACAATACTATATAACGACAAACCGATGGTGTAGCAATGGGAAGTCCGTTAGGCCCTGTCCTAGCAGACATTTTCATGGCTAACCTCGAAAGAACCAAGCTCAAAGGAGCGATTGATGAGATGATGTATTATTCGAAGATGTTGATGATACGTTCATCGTATGTAATAATCAACAACACGCAACAAATCTGCTAAAATTTTTCAATGAAGCTCATCCAAATATTCATTTCACTATGGAACATGAAAAAGAAAACAAGTTCCATTTTCTCGATATCGCGATGAAACGAAGAAAGGATGGTACAGTTCAACGCTCAGTTTATAAGAAAGACAAATGGAATGGTAGTTATCTCAATTTCAACAGCTGTTGTCCAATCAATTATAAAAAGTCACTTGTCAAAACATTGTTTCACAGGACAGAAAGAATATGTACTACCGATACAATAGAAGAGGAAGTTATGAATGCTAAAAAGTGTTTATGGAATAACGGATACCCATTGAAATTTATTGAGAAATATGGAAAACGTGGAGATAAAGTATCCAAAGAAACTAAAGTAAATAAAGAACCTGTTTTTATTCAACTCAAATTCAAAGGTGATAATGTCACAGGGTCAATCAATATGAGATTAAAAACTGCATTGACAAAAACATATCCTGCAGCAAAATTGATTGTCCTGTCCAAAACAACATGTTCCTTGACACAATCAAAGGTCGACAGGTATCCCTTTCATGTTACCACCAACTGTGTATACAAATGTACATGTATCTGCCAAAGCAATTACATTGGTAGAACAGAAAAGAGAGCCTACGTCCGATTCAAAGAACATATTCCGAAGGGTTTGAGATCATACGGACAAGGAGCATTCAGCAACGCTATCGCAAGACATCTCCTTGACACAGGACACGAAGTCGATATGCTCAAGTCATTCAAGGTAATCAAGAAACAATCGAACTCAAACCTTTTGAAATTTGCCGAAGCGATAGCAAACAAACGTTTAAAACCAGATCTTTGTATACAAAATGAAACAGTAATAAATCTTTCTTCGCCCTGGTAACATTACCCCCCTTCTTTTATTTTTTCTAAATTTATTTATTATGTCATTCCAACTCTTTCTGAATTTTATAATTACATCATTCATAACTTACTTACTTACTTACGCCTGTTACTCCTCGTGAAGGAGCATAGGCCGCTCACCAGCATTCTCCATCCAACCCTGTCCTGGGCAATCCTTTCTAGCTCCGTCCAGTTGTAATTCATCGTTTTCATATCTGCTTCTATTATCCGACGCAATGTGTTCTTCGGCCTTCCTCTTTTTCGCTTCCCTTCAGGATTCCAAGTTAGGGCTTGCCTCGTGATGCAATTTGAC